TCAATTCTGGGACGCCTTGGTGGAGTCCAACCACCATGTTAAAAAAATAGAAACAGATAAATAGGATGTTATTGTTTGATCTACTGGACTTCTCAATTCACCCACCTTGTTGTTGGAGATGGGATGAGAGTGGGATGTGAGATGAGAGTGGGATGGGTGGGGTGGGGGGGGTGGGTGGGCAGCGCTGCTGGCCGCTGCCGCTGCTGCGGTGCTCCGCTGCCTCACTGGCAGGCGGAAGGGGACATGGGGTTGTTGTGGATGTTTTTCCCACCGATACTTTTCACATCTTTTGCATCCCACCCTGAAATGGTACAACCCATGTTTATAAGAAGATATGTTTTGGAGTCAAAGGGAGTGTGGATGCACTCTTCACCTATTATATTCCATATGGCTTCACTATCCCACCCAGACATGTGTATCCAAAAAACAATTAAAATCCTTTAAACACACCTATTGTTTTGGTGTCAGGCTTTGAGTGACATTTCAATGACCAAAGCATTTGGCTGAAACAGAAGTGGTGGATAATGTGGAGAAGATATTTATATATAGGAGACTTAAGAACCCCTCTCAAGATTAATGCCCACATGTTTGGAAAGTAGACTCTGCATTTTCTAGTGCCCTCGGAAGCTATGGATCTTCCTCCGGATGATGATGGCCCGGTCATTGAATTGACCCCGTCCATGCCGAACATGATGCATGGAACAGCTCAAGCGACACCCTGTCGCCAGCGCAATGCTCCAAGGTTGACACATGGGAATGATTAGGATCTTTTTTGCTTTGGTTTTCTTAGTGGACCCACCCAATGTTTCTTGGGTTGCAACTTATCGTGAACTCATCATTGGCCAGCCCCTCACTCAGGATTAGTGGTGAGAAGCAGGCCTCTAATTCAAAGTGGAGATGTTGTGCCAAGATGTGCATCCAGTGCTTTGAGGAGGCTCCTTCCCGGAAGGCTTTCTTAGAAGAACCTCTTTGGCCATTTACTGTAATTTGTTTTTTTTATGTTCAACTCTGGGGGTGTGGTGTAGGATAAAAGGATTTGCTGTAAACAGCTCCTATGCCGGATGTAGGATGTAATGGTTTTATTGGCCCAGCGTTTGCTGCAAACAACCAAGGACCTCCATGCCCGCATGAAGGAGTGGTCGGAGGATGAGCTGAACTCCTATGTGCTGGGGCTCTTGAACAAGCTGTTGCAGGTGCAGGGTAAAACTTGAATGCGCCGGGTGAATCAATTCAGAGAACTTGCACTTGTTGTGCCACTTCCAGCTGCTGTTGAAACATGACTCCATGAACTCAAAACCAAACCCTGCTTATTATGTCCATGTATTTTGTCCCTCAGGTGGATGGCAAGTACTCGTACCAGGTGTGTGGCTTCGATGTGTGTCTCAATGGGTTTTGCAGCCTCCTCTTGGTGAACCGGAAGAGGGTCATTTGCTGAAATGCAATACCTGTTTCTTTCTTTGGGGTTTTTGTCAACTAAGACACAAACCATCACAAAACCAAAGTGTTTGCTAAGCCTTGGGTAATATGTTGATGATTTTGGACATGGTCAGGTCTACCGATTGCAAGGTGGTGTGGAGAAAAACCAGGTGCCTATTGACAAGCGCGCCTACAATGGAGGCCTTCAACAGACACCCAAGCATGACAGCGCAGATGCCTTCTTCACTTACTACTTTTACCACATCGCACCCTGACAATCCATGTTTCTACCCAAATCATTTGTTTTGGGGTCAGGGGCTATAGGGGTTTGACAAAGGGGACATAGTATATCTTTTTATATAGAGACCTTTCAACAGCCCAGGCAGAGCACCTGGCTGAAACTGAAGCGGTGGAGAAGTTGGTTGGGAACTTGCATTTGTCAGGTGTAGTTCTGCCAGGCAAGCTTAGTTGTCCCAAGATGTTCAATGTAAGCCAGGGTTGGGTTGTAAATGTTTGAAGGTTGAACACCGGTTGTATACTTACAGGCCCAACTGGTTCCCCAACTGTCACCTTGAAGGCGACCCATCGGCCGAGTTGCCTGCTGGCCTTCTTGGGCAAAAGGTGGATCTTCATGACAACGCCTGCGCAAGCAACCCCGTTGCTGCATGTGCTTTGGGTGGGGCCTCTGGTCTTGGTGCCAAAGGTGACCAAGCCAGATTAGACTATTGGAAACCTTTTCACGCTTTGTCATTTTATGTTGTTTATTGGAGACTTTTTTGGGCTTAAGGGTACCAAATCTCACAGCAGGTGATCTTCAGCCACGCCACATCAACCATATGACCATGGAAGCTTTTCATGCCGAGTACCTCCTTTGGGCAGAGGGTGCTGGGGTGCCTCCAGAGCAACGGGCTTCCAACAGGACTTTCCGGAATGTCTATGACAATGGATGGAGGCAACTTTTGGTCATGCGGAAGATTAGTCAACACAGCAGGTGCCTTGCCTAACAAGAACGAACCACCTTTGGCTCAATACTTTTCAATACCAAAACCATGGGTTTGTGGTAGCAGAAGGAAAAACTACTATATACACCTTTTTGGGGTTCCAAGCTGGACCAACTAGGTGTGATCAATGTGCGAAATTCTCAGCCAGAATTGGTAGTTGTTCGGATGCTGAGCGCCCCAATGTTGAGATGGCCCAAAAGATTCACATCGATGGCGTCAAGGCTTTCCGGTGCTTGCAGGATCGACTTCAGATGCTTTCCATTGAGTCGACCACAACGACAGAGTCTGCGCCAACACAATCTGTATTGAAGATAGACATCGATGGGCTAGATCAGGCCAAGACGAGATGGCCTCGGAATCTGAGCTCAGCAAAAGCACTGAGCCAACTTTGGCGCCCCAATATTCACATTGTGGGCTTCATTGCCCATGGAGCACCTTAGTATAAAGTTGAACTCTGGTTTGGGACGTTTTGGCCTGGTTTGGTGTGTTCCCCACTTCCATGTCCATGCAGGGAGTACAGGGTCTTGCAGGCCCATGCAAAAGGACAAAGCCATCAACTTGTTTGCCCAAGGTATGCGAGGGCTTCCTCATCCTGGACAATGACATCCCAAAGGATGCTTCGATGGAGATGACTGCGCTGGATATGGTTCTGGATTGGTGCTCGGACATCCTTTCCAAGAAGGGCATTGTGTTTCCAGAACATCTTGTTCTGGAGGTGTGGGAAACCAAATAGGATATGTCCACCAAGAAAGCTTTTGCGCTGACAAATTCCCACTTGGTGTTTCCAATGTTCCTCTTTGCTTGGGAAGGGGCGAGGGCTCTTGCCCTTATGTCCTTACCAGTGTGGATTCCAAAAAACATATATAATACCAAGTGTTTTCTTTGGCTCAACCCTGCAGACAGACAACACGTGCCGTGAGGGGAAGAACCAAACGGTAGCGAAGTGGTCAGCTTTTGCCATTGCTCGATCCAAGTGTCTAGAATTATTTGCGGATTATTTTATCTCTTTTCTCACCTGCATATATGCTTTACCCTTTTGGTGCTAGTTCTGAACTCGACCATGCATTTTTTTGACAGGTTTTTGCACACAACCAAGGTTCAAGAGTGTCAGCCACTTCTATGGACAGGTTGGCCACACTCACAATGGTGTTGACCAACGGCTGTCTATTGCAGTGACATCGTTCCAGAATGAGACCACCATTCAAACACCGGAGGAGTATGATGGTCCAATCATAGGTTGTGATCAATCGGGTTAGCTGACAACAGAACAGAATTTTAATTGAATAGAATAGAACCATGATTCATGACCCTGTTTCTATTGCTGCACCTTCCAACCAAACTGTTGCAGGATTTCCTCAGCATCTTGGAGACAAAGGTCATGCCATCCAAAGGCCGTGAGATGCGATGCTGCATTTTGAAGGGCACCCTGAACTACAAGGCATTCTTTGAGCAGCTGGATATATCAATTTCTGGCTTGGTCCCAAATGCCAAGGGGGGTGAGCCTGATGTGAACCATTCATGGCGCTTCATTGCTCGAGAGGAGCCTTACTTTCCAGTGTTTGGAAAAACTGTTCTTTCCTTTGAGGGTGAGGTACCTCCTGCAAAGCCACCAATTCAAGGTTAGGTGCTTCCCACAAAGCCACCAATTAATCCCATCGGGGCCCCCC